ATATATATATATATATATATATATATATAGGTCAATTCAAGGGAGAACTGATTAGTTTGTTATAACTGTGAGATCCAATCTCAACCACAAATCAGTGGATAAATTATGAAATTAATATTATTGGTAATTTGACTTAAAAAATAATTAAAGTGCATTTTAGGTATTTTAAAATTTTTATCTCTCATCTCTCTCTATCTCCTACCTCCGGCCTCCAAAGAACACTATGTGATACACAAAATACACCAAGATACACAATGTGATACCCAAAACGCACCAAGTAAACTTTGAGACCACTATGATACCAACTGTGGTACCACTGTCACAGATAGATATTTAGTGGTCGATCACCGGAGACAGCGTCTTGGTCAGACAAGATGACCGGAGGAGGTCACCGGAGTGGTGGTGGGTGCCGGATAAGGCCACCGGATTTGGTCCCTGTGTGTCTGTGTATATATACATATATTAAAATAATTAAACTAACTAAAGTAAATTGGAATATTAAACTAATTAAAGTAAATTGAATAATCAACACAATTTCCTAATTTATCCTTTGTTTTATTTTATTCAATAACATTAATTATCTAAAATGATTGACTCATATTAGACCTCACAGTTACCACAAACTATCCAGTTCTTATTTGATTAGGCATATATATATATATATATATATATATATATATATATATATATATTAATGTGTAAAATTTTATATAATGTTTATGTTTTTAGCTATATGTATAGTATAGATTATTAAAAGAGATTTACCATCAAAGAATGATAATAAAAAATATAATGGGAGAAAATTATTGGAAGTGTTTTGCAGCAACAACAAATGGATGTGTTGTAGAATATGAATGATGTTGATGTATATATGGCTGACGAATCTATCAATCCAAAGATTTCCTCATTTGATGTTTTATTTTGATGGAAATAAAATGTTAATAGTTATAGCGTTCCACTACAACATTAGGTTTGTAGAACGTCTAAAATGTCCAAGCATCATAATGCAATACTATCACTTTATAGGACCAATAAAAAAAATGTCATGTCCAAAAGTGTCACAATATGTTTATAAGACGCTTTTGAGTGTTTTAACAAGTTTTCATAATGTTTTTAAAATAAAATGTCGTATTATTTATTTTATACGACAATATTTAAAAATGTGTCATATGAAAAAAAGTGCTCTATAAATAGACGAGTTTATTATACACTTTTCAAAGTTGTTCTATAAAATAGCTAATATGAAACTTTATTTAAAAAAACGTGCTAAAAGTTTTGTTGAAACGTCCAAAAACATCTTATAAATCTTATATTACATTTTACCTACTAATTTCTCTTTATACCAACATCAAGAGTTAAATTTTACATTTTTAATATATGATTTAGGGGATGTTTGACAGTTGCTGAATGGTTTAGTGTAGAATGATTAAGAGACTCTCATGATATAGTGTATAATGATATATAATTGTTTGATAATTGTTTATAATGAAATTAGGACGCTGAATGGTTAAGGGAGACCTATGATACAAAATTACTCAGATGGTTTTAGAACCATTAAGAGACAAATTTTTTTTTTTGTCAAACAAGATTTACCACTTAACAATTCAGATATTGTCTCTTAATATAACTATTAAAAGTTAAATAAACAACCATTTAATCCGATCATGAAATAATAAGGTAGTTATCATATCCAAATACTAGAATAATATCTTAGAATACATAAATTATAGCAAAAGGTACAAGTGGGAATGACACTTTGTTTTACAGCTGTAAATGGATATAAAAGAGAACACTTTAATGATATTTCTGAAACACGCTTTGCTTGAAACGATGCAACCCCACACCACTCATACTCATGTCATGGTGGATGCTGATGCTTATTTTCGTCAAAAAGCCAAACCAAAAAGTTAACTGATTTCTTATCCAAATTTTAAGAAAAGGGTACTCGCATGCAACTTTTTTAAAAGTAGAGGGACCAAATGAGAATCTTACCCACAATAACAAATCTACATTTTTTTTTTTTTAATTAACTTGGATATCTAACCTGTTACATGACCAGACTAATCCCAAAACAATCACCTGCTCTACAAATAGCCCGAAATCACAGCATTTAATGTACATATTTCAATTCAAGACTATATTATATAATATAATATAAACTCAACTAGAGGGTACAACCCACATGAGTAACGTTTTGGTTACAGTAGGTAAAAACATACATCACAAGATCCTCCTTTGATCTCTTAACACCCACCCAACCAACATAAAGTAAAATCCTAAAGAAACACCTTTATGGAAGGTACTCTAAAAATAAACCTCCATTTGCTGTAAATGGGAAAAAAACCAATTCCCCCATCCCTGGAATCTGGAGGAACTCAACCCCCAACTTGTGAAAATTACTTGAATAAATAACCTACTTCCTACTCTGTAACTTTGACTTCTAAAGTGTTAGTCAATCAGAAACTAGCCGTTGACCCTATATGAACAATTGCAACCCATGTGACCCCCCCCCCCTCCCCCTACACAAGGGCTGCAACCTTTGCACGATGCCCAGCAGCAACCACAAGGGAAGATGATTTCCCTCTTTCGTCTTCTGGGAGTTGGGAGGTTTCACAGATGGAGGCTGCGGATTTTAAGTCGGCTGGAGGGATGAAACAGTCGATTGACAAGCCTGGGACATTGAAGGCGACCTCTTCAATGGACCAAGCTTCTTCCATTCGGGTCTTGGTGTGGCTCATTGCCATCTCGCCGAACCTGAAAAGGGTCACCACGGAATGACCCGAGTGGGCAATCATGATGCCTTCCACGGGTCGATAATCGTCCATAAATGAATTGATTGTGGTTTCCCAGTAGACGGCATCACCACCGTTGGTTTGAATACGGGTGAGGTGTGAATCCTCCATGTGAACAATGAGTCCGGTTTTCTGGCTAAAATAGCCGAAAAGAACATGCCTTATGATTTCAGCTGGACCTTCACTCCTAGCCTTTAATGTCTGAGGATCAGCACATAGTTTAAGTATAAAGCAATCTTCACCGTTGATCTTCTTCTCACCTACACACTTGGCATCGGCAAACATACTCGCAGTAGTTCTTGGATCAAGACCCTGAAACCCAAAATTTCAAATCTTCAAGATTAATCCTTATTGCGGACGTCCGTATTAAAATAAAATTAACCACCTTTCCATCTTAGAACAAATGCCCATTAATAGAAATCAAGAAAATGGTTGACCTGAAGAGCACGACGCAAGGGTCTAACAGGGCCTTTGGCGGTGTGGGCACCGAGCCATGGAGTGTGCCTCCAAACCAGATTGCCATTGCAGCCTGCGTGAACCTTGCTTCCACCAACAGCAAGCTCAACATACCACATATCAGGGTTCATCTGCCAGAGAACAAATCCGCCCGTGTCGGCAGCTCTGGCAGCATGCTTATTCTTCACCACTCTCGACGCAGTTTCAAATTCGGAAGCCACCATCTTCACTTTTCCCATGGCGTAAGCATTCTTGATGGAGTTTTGAAGCTTTTGCCCTCCAGATGCAGCTGTGTACTGCTGCAGTATGTATTGTGCAGACGAGGTTTCCTAAAATAGAATAAACCCATTAAATCTAAGTCAACGAGTTCAAACAACACTAATGTCAAAGAGACAAGAATTTACAATCAGTAGCCATCAACATCACTAATCTTGATTCTAATCTATGAACAAAAACTGTTAAAAACTAGCTTGAATGAAGAAAGTTACACTCAAGCATCATAATTACACCTATAAACAACGATTCCCATAAAAAGTTGATTAAAATCCCAAACCCACTAAGGATGATGAATGAAATAGAGTTGAATGTTTACAAATATTTAAATTCTCTGAGAAAGAAAAAGAAATTGTTGATAAAGCATTCAGTTCCAGATCAAATGGGTGTGTGACAAATAGACTTACAATAGGAGTATCCTTGATGCTAAGATGAGGCAAAGGGTCAGTGGTGGTAACATGGACCGGAGCAAGTGGTGCGCCCATGACACCAAGCAGGAGCCTCAAATCAGACCGATGTTTATAAGCCATGGTAGAAGTCATGGACGGGGCCCTAGAAAGCTGACCCTTCATCCAGTGGCCAATAACCGAACCGACCCGTTTAGAATCCCCAAGCTCCGAAGCGGCGTCTTGATCAGGACCTTCCCACAAAGGCGCGAGCGTCTCTCCAGTCAAACTCCCCGATCTTCCGATGAAAGGATCGGCGTTTGTTAACTTTTTGGGGGTCCGGCGAACAAGCGCAGCCATGGGACTCTTGGAACGTGAACGGACCGGCGATAAACCACGGATGACTTCGTGTTTTAGAGCGGAGAAAAACCCTTGCTTCTTCTCCATGTTTGTTTGAGCAAGTGGAAAAGTAAGCGACTAAGCAATCTAGAGAGAGAGAGAGAAAAGGAGGGGAGACATGTAAACTGAGGGAGAGGGTGCTGGTTTGGTGAAAGAGAAGGAGAAGGAGAAGATTTTGGTGTGAAAGAAATAGGAAATAGGAAATAGGAAATAGGAAATAGGAGTACGAAATATGAATGTAGTAATTATGATTAAGATTACCTACGGAAAAAGTAAAAAAAAGAAAAGAAAGAGAAGGTTTGTACTTGTCCCACGCGCATTTTTATTGTTTCGACATCACGCTCCGATAAAATGAGTGCTTAAAACTCACAAAAGAAAATATATTTATTTTAAATAAATTCCTAAATATTATAAAGAATTCTTCAAATTTAGAGAAATTCATATTTTATTTTTTGCTTTCTCTATTTCAAGAAAGTTATGAAGAATCAATTAGAACAAAATATGCCTAAAAAATCCAATTTCTCTAGACATAGAAGCTTTTTATCACTTAGGGGTCGTTTACCAAACGCTTATTTGGATAGTGCTTACCGAATAAATTTTCTTATCGGATGAACATGACAAGGGCCAAGAATCTTACTGGGTAAGAGCGATAAGAAGGATGAAGTGTCTTACCCGATAAGTGAAGATTACGACTCTTACTCAGGTAAGCGCTTACTCGGTAAATTGTTGCATTCAATACGTTTTGATGTACTAAAATCTTACTCATCAAAATAAATTATAGTGTTGACTTCTATAAATAAACACTTACCAGGTAAGCATTTGGATAACAACCCTTTATTTTTTATTGTTACAAATTATTAATTAAGGAAGAAAGAAAAAGATTTTGTTTTCTTAAAATTTTTAAGGAGGTAAAGAAAGGGAAATCATATTGATTTCCTCCCTTATTTGGGTAGAAAAAGAAAAGAAAAAAATTTAAAATATTTATAAAAACACATATTTATTCATTAATTACATTCTCTATAAGATAACCAAGGCTCTATTTGTAAATATGACATCATTCAAAAATATGAAAATTTATTTTGTTTTCATTTTACTCTAAAAACACAAACTTTTTTTTTTCCAAACTCAAAAAATAACGTAAAATGAGAATTGGAAATTAATAAATATGATATTTATTTTTTTGAAAAAACATGAAAGATTATTTTTGAGACGAGAGATGTATTATATTTAAAAATAATAGAAGGGTATCTGCTCAATGCAGTAAGATAAATCTCGATTTTAATGTTTAGTTTTTATTTTTTGTTTCTGTTGATATAATAAGATTTTATGTGGTTTTGAGAAAACGATAATGCATTAAAAATTATAAATCATATTTAATCATTTAATTTAGATTTAATATTATAATTTTTATAAATATAATAATTAAACATTTTGTTAGAACTCAATGATTATCTTAATTATATTTTAGATTTTCTATATTTAAAGTGAATATATATCATGTATTTGATTATGTTTATCTGCAGTTAGTTACACGAATTTAAAAATAGAGCTTTAATAAGTTATACTTATGTAAAATTACTTGTAATATTGAATTTTAAATAAAAATATATATCAACAAACAATACTTAATATATCAATTTGGTTTTCAAGACTTTTAACAAATATCTATACTACATATATAACCATTTAAGTCATTATCTTAATTACAACTCTTGAAGCATAGGTTATAACCATTTTATGCAAGAAATTCAAAAAACTCTTAATTACAATTCATCAAGCATGTAGTACAAGTTTTTTATGCATTGAGTTTATTAGCCATGGTCAGACCTTGCTTTTTCTCTTCTCTTTTGTTATTCTTCCTTTTCCAACTTCCTTTCCTCCTATCATGAATCCTCAGGTGCGCCAAAACAAAATTGGTAAAGTCATACATTTGCTTTCTTCAATTGCTCCAACCTTTGCACATTCTAACCCTAATTTCAGCCATCTTGCTTCCCTTGAACAAGAAGAACACCACATACTGCATCTGTCTTCGTCCCTTTCTCTCCCGTGCTCTCCTCCATCGTCCCTGCTCTCTCTGATGCTCTCCTCTGTCGTCCCTGCTCTCCTCCGTCTTACCAGCATCGTCGTCTTCTTTCATCACACAGCAGGTTTTCTTCATTTCAATTCTTCTACTCTATTCAATCATCTCCTGGTTCGATTCTTCATCTTTGCATTTGAAAACATCTTGATTCTTAGGAATATGAATGATGCTGAAATTATTTGATAAGTATCTTGTTACAATGGGTTTGTTCTACTTGAATCTTTTGGTTTTCTCACCAACATATTACTTTTATGTTTCTTAGACATGTAATATGTTTTTAGAAGGGTGCTTTTGCATTGGTTTTCCCACTTTTTTTCCTCTAGGGTTTATAAGTCGGGAATCTTTCATCTTTGACGACTTCCTTCTAATTAAAAGGGCTTTCAGTTTCAAGATTCTTTCTATTTGCATGGTTCATGGAGCAGCTGGGGTGAAATTTACAGAATTGTTACTTGATGTTTGAGTTGTTTCCTGGTAACTTGTTCGTTACCCACTTGTTTGCTTATTGTTCGTTCAAGAATTCAATTTACAGTCAACATTTATGCTTTTGTTCGATTATTACAGTCAAGATTTATGCTTTTGAATCTAGGACCTTCTAACAGGTGTTTTTGAAATCTATGACCTTCTGACAAGGTTCTATCACCAAGCGAGAGAGGTGAGAAAATGGTCGTTCCAAAAGATGTGCGCCAAAATACGCCCGTCAAAGTTGGGGTTAGTGATTTGTATGACTAATAAAACTTCTCTATTTTGTTAGATTTGTATGCGTATATCCTGAATCATACATCTCTATGCAGGCAACTGCAGGCCTGAGACAGTTGGGAGTTGATGCATCTGAAAGAATTTTGCAAGCTGTAAATATTACTCTTCCGCAAACTTCTTTTCTTACTTTCACGATTTCCTCCTGTTTGAAGATTTCCATTTTTTATTAGTTGTTATTAGGGTCTTGTTTTTGCGCTCTTATGTGTCTCCGGGCTTAACCTGAAACTCCTTTTGATATTGGTTTGAAAGACACCACATTCCTTGTCATATCGTATTCTTGTTTTGCATAATAAAACCTTTATCATACCTACAGGTGACCATAAATTATCTATACTACATATATAACCATTTAGGTCAATATCTTAATTACAACTCCTAAAGCATAAGTTACAATGGTTTTATGCAGCAAATTCAAAAAACTCTTAATAACAAGTTATAAAGCATAATGTACAACTTGTTGATGCATTCACTTTAACTCCAATGGTTAAATCGATGTCTTCTCTAACATTTTCATGCTTTTTTCTTTCTTTTCCAGCTCTCCCCCTTCCGCCAAAACATATTTGGGTGAGGTCAGATAAGGCTTTCTTCTCTTCTTCTTCCTTTCCCAGCTTTCCCCTGTGCAACAACACCCATTTGGTAAGTTCAGACCTTGCTTTCTTCCATTCCTGCTACCTTTGCACAAATGGGCGATTTGATGTATCAAATTCGTGGCTCCCAAGACGACCTCATCTGTGCATATAACCATAAATTTGAAGTTTTGATTTCTCCACAGGTTCTTAAAAACCATAGCGATTTCCCTGAGGACTGAGGTATTCATTTAGTTTACATGTTGTTCAAAACTCAGGTTCTTCATTTTGTTTTTGTAGCTAAATATCATCACATGTTCATGTGTTTTGGTCTACGCTTCATCTCTATCTCTCATCTCTCAATCTGTTCGTGGCATATATCAATAAATTTTGCATTCCTTTCTTCATTCAGATTATCCATTTTCAGGACTGTTTAGAAGACGATCAATGAACACGGTGGTTGTTTTGTGCTCACTTTATAGGTTTGTTTCCAACCTTTAGTTTCATCCTAAAAGTACTCCTATTTTGGTTCATTGAACGATTGAAGAAGAAAAAGATATTAATTAAACAACCAATATGTTGAATTGTGTTTTTGAGTTTTCACTTTGAGCTGGTACTTTGTTCAAATATCATATAAGGTATGGTCCTCTATAGTTGGTAGTTTCTCTATAGTTGCCCATTTCAATGCTTTTACATCTTCTTCTTCCAACGAAGACATCCCTACATATGTTAGAACTACTTATACGTGCCCTGCTAACTCTAAACACATCCATACCCTTGTGGCTGCTGCCTGCTGTTGACATACCCCATATGTGCACTGCTAAATCTAACTCTAAACTCCATATGTATCATTTATTTATGTTTGCTTATTTATGCCTTGAGAGGAATTGTTTGGGACTGTTTGGACTGCTGTCTGGTTATGGACTTACAAACCAGATAGCTTAGTCCATCCAAGTCGAATATGCATTTTCAACATTTTCAATGGTCAACAAACATGTGAATGATAATCACTTATGCTTTTGAGGTTAATATGCTACTCTTTAAATTCCAAAATTGAAATAAATAGTACTTCTAGAGAAAAGACGTGTAACTGTATTACAATTTAGAACAAGTAGCACAGGAAAATGTTGGTGTTAAATGTGTAATGAGGTTTGAAATCAAATCTCATTTTGAAGGTATTTGGTTCAATCTTAAAAGTCAAAGTGTTCCTCCATTTATCGATGGAAGGAAGTATTTATTAGCTTCATGTATGCATATTTGCATTTTAAAAATTTTATGCTGATAAACTTCTTGTTGTGAGCTAGGTTTATAACCAGATTCCGGTGTTATAATCATAGGGGATGTTATCTACAATGCACAATTTCCGTTGCTGGCACCGGATATTGTTTTTGGACCTGAAGATGACAACTTTCGACCATACCATGCTTGTGGAGGAGACTTGAAACCTAAGAACAATTTATCTGATTGGAATTGCAAAGACCCAACTAGGCTATTGTCTCTGATTCTTGAACTTAGGTATTTACCCCCTTACAGTAAGCTCAGATGAAATGTTTATGTTATGAATGTTGCCCATTTAGTATGTGTAAAGGATTATGTTTACACTGCAGGAGTTTGTACATGGCATACCAGAAAAAACGTGTTGGGGAAGTTGATGATTAAATGTTCAAATGTACAAATTGTATGCAATTATTTGTTGAA